ACATTTGTTGCATTAGTTTTATATTTTGGAGTTCTACACTTGGCTCTATTATCTTTTTTTTTTTTGTATTTAGTACAGGGTCTACAGGGTGTTCAGGGTCTCACTATGTAGATCTGACTCATAGTGATCCCTTTTGTTCAGCCTACCAAGAGCTGGGATTACAGGTGCGTGCCACCACACCATCTTAATTGCCATCTCAGCACGCCCCAAGGGTGGGGCCGGTATGGCAAGCTGGGGATTGAACCCCAGCCTCTGTGTCTACCCAAGCAGGTGCTTTAATCTGCTGAGCTATTTGGCTAGCCTTTCTATTATCTACTTGAGATGATTTTTGTATATAATGTTTTCATTCATAGACATCCCATTGTTCCAGTGGCCTTTCTTTTTTATCTGTTCATCTTTTTGTCTATGTTAACACTGCAGTCTTGATTATAATAGGTTTGCAACAAATCTTGCAATTGATATCAATCCTCCAACTTTGCTCTTTCATTAAATTATTTTGACAATTAAGATAAAGATTATTGGATGCTTCAATTTCCATCTTGACTACTATATCTTTATAAAATATGTCATAGTTAAGTAATATTAGTCCTGCAACTTTTTTCCTTTACTATGTTATTTTGACTACTAGAACTAATATTATTTGATCATCTAATTTTCATTTGAGTTTTAGAATCAATTTGTTCTTAAATCAAATCCTTGAATTTTGATTAGAAATGAAGTTATAAATCAGTTGAGAGGGGATTGATACTAAGTCTACATTTTTGACCAATTGGCACTCTCAATTTTCCCACTTCTTTCAATTTAAACAGTTGGACATTTCTATGAGGAATGTCTTATTATGTTCAGTCTTTAATATATTTTGTCATATTTGTCTTTGTTTAATGTTTTGATGCTATTATAAATGATACTATTCTTCCAACTTCAATTTCTGGTTGTTTACTTCTAGCATAAAGAGAAACAATTGACTTTCATATATTTACCTTAAATTCTGTGAGTTGTTAACCTCATTTGGTAATTATAGTACTACATTCCAATGGAATTTTCTACACAGATGATCATGTGAACTTTGAAAAGAGATAGATAGTTGCTTTAAAACAAAAAAGCACAGACTGAAAACAAGGAAGTACAGTAGGAGGTTGGGAGGTTTCTCCAATAACTTGTCTCAGTTAGGGAGTGAGCATTCTGTCATTATTGGTTTACTATTCTATGTATGGGCAAGGAAAGGAAATGATAGCAAGCTGTTGGATAACGTTTGAATTCTTTTTTTTTGTTTATTTGTTTTCTTTTTTTATTAATTTTATTGAGAAACAAATAGCAATGAGACAGTTTCAAAACAGGTTAGTAGGACAGTTACAATAATTAATACATTGCATATTATTGTCTTCAGAGTAGTTATTCATAGTACAAGATACATATATGATATCCTGTCCAAACACTAGGACTGGCTGGGCTTGTCACAAATAAATGAATAAAGAAAGAAATAAAGAAAAGAAAGAAAAGCAGATAATTAAATTAAATTACTTATGTTTGCTTAAGAA